CGTGATTGTCATCGTATACGTGGCACCGGGTCTTCACTCCACGAGCTTTAAGTATGCGGTAATATTTGAGGCCCTGAGTCCACGACACCCGACGGTCACGTTTGCCTAACATCATAAGTGTCGGCACTTTTACCTTTGATATCCAATTGATGGGTGATTTCTCGAACATCACTCTCAATAAGTTTGGGTCTAATGGGGTGTCGAAAGAAAATGGCTTAACGTTACCAAACGCTTCAATATAACCCCAGTCGGGAATGTCTGTGCCGTCAAATTTTGATGATATGTCCACAACTGGGTTGTGAGCCACACATGCTTTAAAATCCATGTGCGCGTACTGTCCGCTCAGATGTGTGACCAAAAAGCCGCCGTGAGATCCGCCCCACAGAACCAGTTTTGATGAGTCGATAAGACTTTTGTCACTCAAATATTTGACGCAATGAACGACATCGCGGACATCGTTGTCGCCCACGTGTCCGATCAGATCATTCACATAGTCTTCGTCAACTCCTATGGATCCCCTGTAATTGACTATACAATTAATTAGTCACTGAATATAAATAAATCTCCAAATATCTCAAATTCAAATAAATACCGAGTAATGTCTTTAATCCAATCTTCGCTAATAAAGACGGATTAATCATATATGTGTTTGCATAGCGAGAATGCGGTCCCCCGTGTGGCATAATAACAGTGGCCGTCGGCTGTGATTCAACCGCTTTAGGACTGACCAGAATTGCAGTCAAAAGTTTCTTCGGGTCTTCACTGGGAATCCAATAGTTGTCAACCGATATGTCTTTCAACGAATCGCGTGAATTGGTTTCCATTTCCTTCCACTCAACCCATGGTTTTGTATTATCGCTATAATTAAGTTTACCGACAAATATATTGGGATTACTGTTGAGCGCAGAGCCGACGGCTATCAAGAGGTTATCGTTTAGATCCAAGACTTGAAGGGATGGCAGCGGAAACTCAATTGGAATCAATTGTTTAGTTTTCAGATCAAACAAACAGAGGACTAATTGAAGTTCAGTAATACAATTCAATATTAAAAACTTTCCGTCAGAAGTGAAACAGTTTTCTGTTATCTCTTCAACAAATAAAGCGCTTATTTTCCCGTATTTGAGATCACTTTCGGTGTCTATTATCTCTCGGACGCCATTCGTGTCGATAAGAATTTCAGATGTTTTTAATTCAAAACTATACCGCAATAGTCGACTCGCCTGTCGGTGAGTACTTCCACTTTTGTTCTCCAAATACACAAAACCTGTTCCGTCGGTCAGTGGCCGCGGGTTTCTAATGCTTGAGTTTTCTGTACCACAAATCAGTTGTGGAATCGAGTCTTCAGTTTTCAAATCCATTGTAAATATAGAACTCAAGCGATTTGTACAAAAAACTATTCCTAAACGTCTGGGCTCTTCAGCCCAACCAACGAATCCAATCTGATCTCCGTTTCCGACCCAAAAGGGTTGACCCAAAGAGTAACCACTCTTTTCAATGGTTTGTATTTTGAAGTCTTTGTCGACATCGAGAATACCAATGACTGTATGACTGATGCCATCAAAACATTCGCCCCAATCCTCTCTGTACACAAACTCCTGACCCCTTGAATCCGGTTCTTTGCCTGAATTCTCTGACTTTTTGTTCACTTTCTTGTAATAAGACTGAGGTTTCGGTGGTTTATATTCGGCGACATATAGTAGTTGTTTGCCATTCGGTGACCACAATATGTTACTGAGCTGTGGATCTAATACGAGAGCCGAGTGTTCTTCCAATGAGTCCAAGTCTATTGACTTAACTTTTGTCGTTTTATCCCATATTTCGAGCCATTGTTTAGTTTTTCCCGATTCCGGGTCTTTGGCTCCTTTGCGGACGACTGCCATATAATGAGATCCCTTTGCTCTCGAAGTTGTGGCCAAACTATTATCAAATTTCAATTAATTTTATTGACTAAACACTTGTAATGAATAACAGACTCATTGGTCACATCCAAAGGTTGGCCAACAGTTGCGATGTGTTTAACAGTCATCCCATCTTTGGATAGTTTGATGGAGTGATGGGTCGTATGTTTGGTCGCTTCCAAGCGATCCATATCTCGTACTTTCCAATCAATTCGTAAACACTTTTCTCTCTCATTATCGCCGACAGAGAGTCGGCCGGAGATAGGAATCGGAGTTTTGGCAAAATCTCGGTATAAGTCAACCAAATCGTCGATCTATTCATAAATAAAAATTAGTATTAAAAAAGTAATTAATTGTTAAGTAATGATAAAATGTCATAAATATAGTTATCTATAATATATAGTTTAATCGCTGATCATTGGGTTCTGAAGAGTCGACTCAAGACTTACTACAGTCTGTCGGTTGTGAGCAGTGATTACCGGAACGGTGTCTGAAAATCAAATAAAATATTTAGACTTTATTAGAGAGCTGTTCCCAAACAACACAATATTCTTACGATTGACATCGAGTCGAAGCGTTGGCGACATTTCGCGAACAAACGAGTGGCGCTTCAGTGATGTCTTGAGCGACCAATTAGTGATTGCAATCACCCGTCGGGCACATAGATTGTGGACAACAGATCGGTTCAAAGTTTGACTCAATTTAAACATAATTAAAGTGAAATAATTTGACACAAAACTTATATTTATAACACGTTTAACCAAAAACTTTTACATTTACAGTTAATGTGTTGAAGTGATGGTTAATCTCACATAATGTCACTCATCGCCAAACCGTTAACGTCTTGTTATAACTATCCTAAAAGTGCTAACAATAAAAATTTAGCAAAAATTTGTTTCTGATAGACAATAGTATTGCCAACAAAGAGATTGAAGCAATTAAAGACAGGAAATGAGGCCCACATCCAAATGTTGTCTACATTTTAGACTTTAAAACTTTTACTCACAGTCAATAAGTAATTCAATCTATTATTTTAAGATATTTATTGCTTTGTCTCATATTAAAGTTACAAGTTATCAAATCCCAATATATTTTCAAATGTTTTTATCATTTTAATTATGAAAAAGTGTAAAAAATTGCATCAATAATAAAGTCTTTTATTAGTTTAGTTTAAATTCTCAAGAATCCAGAGACAGATATTGACGAAACAGTCGCCGTCGACGTCAACCTTTTGCAGGCCGTGATTGTCATCGTATACGTGGCACCGGGTCTTCACTCCACGAGCTTTAAGTAAGCGATAGTATTTGAGACCCTGAGTCCACGGCACCCGACGGTCACGTTTGCCTAACATCATAAGTGTGGGCACCTTTACATTTGCGACCCATTTATAGGGCGACTTCTCGAGCATTTCTTTCAATGAGTTCGGGTCTAATGGGGTGTCGAAAGCAAATGGCTTTGAGTCGCCGAATGCCTCTGTAGAGCACCAGTCGGGGATATCAGTGGCGTCGGGCATCGATGCCAAGTCTGTTACGGGATTGCGGGAAATGCAAGCCTTGAAATCCATGTGCGCGTACTGTCCGCTCAGATGTGCGACCAAAAAGCCGCCGTGAGATCCGCCCCACAGAACCAGTTTCGATGAGTCGATAAGACTTTTGTCACTCAAATATTGAACGCAGTGAACGACATCGCGGACATCTTTGTCGCCCACGTGTCCGATCAGATCATTCACATAGTTGTCATCGACGCCAAGAGATCCTCTGTAGTTGACTATAGCAGCAAAAAATAACGTAAATTTGATGGTAAGTTTTGTCGCGAAATAAATTCTTACTTAACAACGTTTTTAAACCAATTCTTGCTAATAGAGCGGGATATGACATATAGGTGTTGAAAAACTGGCCGTGAGGTCCCCCGTGAGGTAGAATAACAGTGGCCGTCGGCTGTGATTCAACCGCTTTAGGACTGACCAGAAAAGCAGTTAAAAGTTTCTTCGGGTCTTCACTAGGAATCCAATAGTTGTCAACCGATATGTCTTTCAGCGAATCGCTTGGATTAGTCTTTATTTCCTTCCACTCAACCCATGGTTTTGTATTATCGCTATAATTAAGTTTACCGACAAATATATTGGGTTTAGTGTTGAGCGCAGAGCCGACGGCTATCAAGACATTGTCGTTCAGATCCAGGACTTGAATGGATGGCAGCGGAAACTCAATTGGAATCAATTGTTTGGTTTTCAGATCAAACAAACAGAGGACTAATTGAAGTTCAGTAAAACAATTCAATACTAAATACTTTCCGTCAGAAGTGAAACAGTTTTCTGTTATCTCTTCAGCGAATAAAGTGCTTATTTTTCCGTATTTGAGACCACTTTCGGTGTCTATTATCTCTCGGACGCCATTCGTGTCGATAAGAATTTCAGAAGTTTTGGCCTCAAAAGTATACCTCAATAGTCGACTCGCCTGATCGTGAGCTCCGCCTCTCGTGTTCTCCAAATACACAAAACCCGTTCCGTCGGTCAGTGGCCGCGGGTTTCTGATGCTTGAGTTTTCTGTACCACAAATTATTTGTGGAACAGAGTCTTCAGTTTTCAAATCCATTGTAAATATAGAACTCAAACGATTTGGACAAAAGGTTATCCCTAAACGTCTGGGCTCTTCAGCCCAACCAACGAATCCAATCTGATCTCCGTTTCCGATCCAAAAGGGTTGACCCAAAGAGTAACCACTCTTTTCAATGGTTTGTATTTTGAAGTCTTTGTCGACATCGAGAATACCAATGACTGTATGACTGATGCCATCAAAACATTCGCCCCAATCCTCTCTGTACACAAACTCCTGACCCCTTGAATCCGGTTCTTTGCCTGAATTCTCTGACTTTTTGTTCACTTTCTTGTAATAAGACTGAGGTTTCGGTGGTTTATATTCGGCGACATATAGTAGTTGTTTGCCATTCGGTGACCACAATATGTTACTGAGCTGTGGATCNGGATCTAATACGAGAGCCGAGTGTTCATCCAATGAGTCCAAGTCTATTGACTTAACTTTTGTCGTTTTATCCCATATTTCGAGCCATTGTTTAGTTTTTCCCGATTCCGGGTCTTTGGCTCCTTTGCGGACGACTGCCATATAATGAGATCCCTTTGCTCTCGAAGTTGTGGCCAAACTATTATCAAATTTCAATTAATTTTATTGACTAAACACTTGTAATGAATAACAGACTCATTGGTCACATCCAAGGGTTGGCCAACAGTTGTGATGTGTTTAACAGTCATCCCATCTTTGGATAGTTTGATGGAGTGATGGGTCGTATGTTTGGTCGCTTCCAAGCGATCCATATCTCGGACTTTCCAATCAATTCGTAAATCCTTTTGTCTCTCATTATCGCTGACAGAAAGTCGGCCGGAGATAGGAATCGGAGTTTTGGCAAAATCTCGGTATAAGTCAACCAAATCGTCGATCTATTCATAGATTAATATAATATTAGATAAATAAATAAAACTTAAATTTGATTTAAAGGGCAACTGATATGAGGTTGTACCAGTTAATCAGGTTACCACACATTTGATCATGCTATCGTATACGCCATATCATATACTATATCTATATAAAATTTGATCGAATTTCACCGCGGAACTTTCGAGATTTTCGACTTTGTTTCTCGAAAAAATTACATTAGGTCTATGGGGAAAAAGTGTCCCAGAGCCGGAATTTTTATACAACAAAAATGCACGAAAATGTTGTATAAAAATTCCGGCTCTGGGACACTTTTTCCCCATAGACCTAATGTAATTTTTTTCGAGAAACAAAGTCGAAAATCTCGAAAGTTCCGCGGTGAAATTCGATCAAATTTTATATAGATATAGTATATGATATGGCGTATACGATAGCATGATCAAATGTGTGGTAACCTGATTAACTGGTACAACCCTGATATGATAACAGATGTGATAACAAGAAACCATTAAACAAAGAATTACAAGACATAATGTGACCAATTTAAGAAACTAATAGACATTATTGATATACAAGTGATGGTGAATGAGATGAATACTAACTGTAATGCGGTTGCCGTCGGCAGTGGTCACCGAAACGGTGTCTACAAAACAAAAAACTCTTTAAAACCAGTTCCCAAACAAACTCTACATATTTTACGGTTGATATGGGATTCAAGTGTCGACAACATTGCGGTGACAAACGAGTGATTATACCTCTTCAGTGTCTTCAGTGGTCAACAGCTGTGATCGCAATCAAAGTCTATATTAAATTAAATGACAAGAAATAAGTTCACAATTCATAACAATTGAGTGAAACAAAACTTTTTGATAACAAATTGTGTTAAATATAGTCGACAACAGATGTGAGGAGTGAGTAGTCGTACAACACTTGTGA